TTGTCTTATTCGGGTTAATTGAGCTCTTTAATGGTTCCATTCTATCTCCACTATTGACTTATTATTATGTCTCTATTTTTTAGTTGTTAGTGGTTTCTCTAGGATTTACAATAAACATCTTTAATTGATGAGATTCTATTTTCAAGTGATATTATTCTACTTCATGTGTCGTCATGTAAGGATACTACAGCAGTGCTCCCCAACCCTCCCTCCCATCTTTTGTGCCATTCTTATCAGACACTACTTTGACAGCTGTTATAAACCCATAATAGCAGCTCTCTGCTTTAGACAGTCTTTCATCTCTCAAAGTAATTAAAAGGAAGAAAAAATGAATTTTATTTTTACATTCATTTATTCCACTTCTATTGCTCTTAATTGCATAAATCCAAGTTTCTTTTTTGGGTGGTGGGGGATGGGCAGCTGGCCAGTACAGGGAACCAAACCCTTAACCTTGGTGTTACAAGATCATGCTCTAACCAACTGAGCTAACCGGACAGCCCAAATCCAAGTTTCTACTGGTAGCACATTTCTAGCACCTGAGAAATTTCCTTTACCATTTCCTGTGGAGCAGGTCTGCAGACAATGAATTTGTTCATTTTTGTTTGAGAAAGTCTTTATGTCTCCTTTGTGTTTCAGAGATATTTTTGCTGGGAATAGAATTCATTCTTTCAGCACTTTAAAGATGACCCTGCATTATCACCTGGCTTACCTGTTTTATAATGAAACATCTGCTGTAATTCTCATCTTTTTCTCTGTATATAATGTCTTTTTTCTGTGGCTGTCTTCAAGATTTTCTCTTTGTCTTCATTTTTCAGAAGCTTTAAAATGCAATGTATAGAAACATTTTTGTTGTTGGTAGTGGGGTTCTGTTCTCTTAGCTTATCAGATCTGTGGTGATATTTGTTATTGATTTTGGAAAATTCTCAGCCATTATTTCTTTAAATATTTATTCTATCTTGTTTTCTCTCTCTTCTCCTTCTGGGATTCCATTTACACAGAATTTTGGCTGTCTGACACTGCCCCATAGCTCTTGGATGTTCTGTTCTGCTTCCCAACGCCCTTTTCTCCTTTTGTGTTTCAGTTTGGGTAATTTCTATTGACCTATCTTGATGTTCACAGATTGTTTTCTTGGCTGTGTAAAGTGTACTAATCAGCCCTTCAAAGTCATTCTTCTCTATTATTGTTTTTTTTCATTTCTAGCATTTCCATCTGATTATTTCTTATAGATTTCTTCTCTCTGCTGAAATTATCAAATCCTGCATGGTATCTACCTTTTCTATTAGTCTTATCAGTTACTTTAAAATTCCTGTCTGATAATTTCAACACCTGTGTCATATGAGTTTTGTTCTGTCAAATGTTTCATCTCCTAACCCTGTGTTGCTTTTTTCTTGTCTTTTCTTATGTCTTAGTTTTGTTTTGTTTTGTTTTGAAATCAGTTATGTTGAGTAGGACAGTAAACACTGAGGTAAATTGCTTTTATTCCTGGAAATAGGCATGCCTTTCCTTTTGCTAGGCCTTTAGTGTCCAGGTTTGAATCAGTTCTAGTCAGGACAGCTGGGGGAGGTCACTTCCCTCCCTAGATCCAGGGATACTGTGCCTGCCTAAGATACAGGCTTAATCATAATAACAGAGAATGTTACCTTTAGTGCACCCAGTGTTTATTGCCCCACCCTCTGCAATTTAATTTTTTGCTCTTTAGTAGAGATAGGAGAGAAAGATCTGTGGAGAACACTTTTTCAGAATTCTTGCCAATATTTTTTGTGAGCACCAGGTTAGGTCCCGTGGAGAGAAGCTGGTAAATGCATGTAAATTTCCTTTATATCTTCGCCTTCCAGGATTCTATATTATTTCACTTCTTTTACCAATTTAACAATTTTAGCTGAATTATTCTTACTGGGGTCCAGCTGAGTCATCCCCACATAAGGACATGTCTGTATCTCCATGGAGGCACCTGTCTTTTCTTAGATTTGGGGTTAGTTTGTTCCCCTCTGACTTTAGCTGTCTGGTAGATTAAATTCAGGTGTGAATTTGTAGTTTACCTGACTTGTAATGGTGGAACAATGCTCTTTCTGCTTTTTACAACCCAAACAGAAACCAAAAATTTCCATTCTTTTTTGGAAAATAAGTATCCAAAATATGTCCAGGCTAGTTTGAGATGGTGCCTATATGTTCCCAGGCTAAAAGACAGGAGAGAGCCCTTCCAAAGGAAAAGAAAAAAAGGAGGAGGAGGAAGAGGAAAAAAACAGACAGACAAAAATATAAAAGCTTCCCAGGCCTATTTTGAAAGCATTTGCTATTCTTGAGATTTGTCACCAGAGGGCCACCTGCCACATGGGCTACACCTTCCACTGGGTAAGGCCTGGCTTCCAACAGGGAAATGTCAATGCCTACGGTGAGACAGAGACATCAGAAGCTATGGATGCTCACAAGGAGGGCCTGTTCCTGGGGCCTCCCTGGCCTGTACCCTCCGTGGGCTCTCAGGGTCCTGTAGGCCCAGCCCTTGCCCACAGGCCACAGCAGCACTCTCTGCAGAGAAGTTGCTGTCCTTTCAGCCCCTGACTGTCTTGTAAGGAGGCTTGTCCCTAGAGCCTCCCTTAGTACCTAGCCTTCACAACTCCCCCCCACCCCAGGACCTAGGCTGAGAGCCTGCCAGGACCTTTCTAGGTGGCTGGCACTACACTTTCAGTATATTCTAGCCACTCAACTGGGGGCAGCCCAGGCAGTCAGTTCTGGGTTGAGGGTAGGAATTCCCAGGACTCCACAGTATGGAGGTAGGGGCAACAGGAGTGTGTAACTATATTAGTTAAGGTGGCTTATCTGAAACAAAGAAACCAAAATCATAGTGGCTTAACATAATAGAAGTTTGGTTCCCATGCAAATAAAGTCTAAAACAGGTGTTCCTGATTGGCAGGCTGCTCTTCTCCAAGGGGGGATTCCAGAGCCCACTCCTGCCATCTTGCGGCTCCACCATCTGCCACAGGTGCCACGGATTGGAGAAGGGGAGCAGGGGAGAGCTCCCCAACCACATCACTCCACATGTCCCACCTCGTTTGTGCTCACAGCCCACGGGTGCAACTAGGCACCTGCTCCCTCCTAGATGCTGGGGGTGGGGGCGCCTGGAAAGTGTCATTGTGGCTGGGCAGGTGTTTTCCAACAGCAACTCTGCCCTGGGAAGAGGGTGACAGCCAGACCCAAAATGCACAAGCTGCAGCTGCAGCTGCACCCACAGGAGCTGCTTCCGACAGATGGCCACTGTTCCCGAGCAGTGTTTCCCAAATTTGCTTGATTTTAAGAACCACGGGGGATACTTATCTAAAATGTAGTTCTTGATTCCTCTCCCTGGACACTCTGGTTTGGCGCACCTGTGTGTAGGGGCCTGGAACTCCAGAGAGCTGTGCTGCTCTAGCAGGTCTGGGGAACAGAATGGATGCAGAGAGCCTCTACCGACGCCTGCCCCATGGGTGGGAAACCAGGCCAACCCCCTCTGTGTGTGTGTAGTGACTCATGGAACTAGGAAACAGGCTTGTCTCTGAGCCAGCCCTGCAGCCCTCCCCCTGAGTGTATCTACCCTGCAGCTCTGCCCTGGGAAGGGCGGCCACGACAGGGCAGAAGCTAGCAGGCTGGGGAGGCAGGCCGAGCTGCCCCTGACCTCCTAAACCAGAGCACTGCACTCCTAGTCTCCAGCCAGACGACATGAAAGCCCCGGAGGTGGGAGCTGGTCGGCAAAGCTGCAGCTACCTTCGCTTCCACAGGAGGCAGGGACGCAGGAGGGGCAGTTACGTGCACTCTCATTTTTCCTTTAGCAACACTAGAGGGAAGCATTGAGTCAACGTTTCCAATTTTTTTAGAATATCAACTACTAATGTCTTAGATTTCATGTATTTATTTACCTTCATGTTCTTGTCATGGCGCCCTGGCCATGAATCATGGGCTCCAGCAAGGAGCAGAGCAGCTGGCCAGAGGCCCTGAGCTGTGCTCCTCTGCAGTGGTTTATTACTCCTGTGAGCGCGCCTGCAGGGTTGCTGAGGGAAACCCCCGTGGAGGAGGCTGCTGCTTGCTCAGAGGGTGGACTTGGGGATGCTGTCTCCCCACTTCTTCCTGCTCCTCATCCCTCACAATGTCCTTAGGAGTCAGCCATGTCACTAGGAACTCCTCTCACTGGGTCCTGCAGCAGCTCAGAAGCTCCCAGCAGATCCCAAACAAGCTATAGACACCGCCCACTGCCCCAGCCATTCGGTGGCCCAAGATTTCTCACAAGCTGTGTGTTTCACTCCAGACATTTCATAATGAGAAATGACCAGCCAGTCACTCGTCACTGTTGCAGCCATCCACATGTGACCTCCTCAAAAGACTCCCCTGACCGCGTCTTAGAAAGGCTTCCCATCACTGCCTTCTACTTGCTGTGTACCCTTCCAAGGCTAATCACTACCTAACACTATGGGGTGTTCATTAACCTGCTTTCTGCCCCCAGCAAAGGTGAGCTCCTTATGGGAAGGGGCCAGGCATTGATACAGACCTGTTGCACAAAACACAAACGAGCAGAGGTCAGAGATGCCCTCTCTCACTGGATCTGCACACTCCACCTTTCTCGGGGATGAGAGGGAGGGCCCTGTCCCAGGCCACACACAAGGTGGCAACGCACAGTGCGCCTTCCTCAGAAATAACAGATGCAGCAATAGCTTTTTCCCCACCTAATGCCCACTGGGGTACCTGCCATCAGACAGACCCAAAAAGGCCCAGAGCCTAGGTAAAGCCTCCAACTGCTCTCCAGTATTCACAGTAAATACCAAGGTTTTAAAACTATCAATAGTGTTTTTGAAACCTGTTGTCATAACACTCCTGCTGGCACAGTTGTTCTGTGTGTATCTCCATTTGGTTTACTTATCACTGACACACTTGGCCTTGGAATTCCCTTCCTGTCCTCCCTGGGGATTGCTGGAGCTCCCAGGCTCCAGGCCAGCCAGTGGGCTGCCTGGCACCGTGTGTCTCTTCTGTTCCAGCTGTGATCCCCTTGACAGACTCCGAGCACAAGCTGCTGCCTCTGCACTTTGCAGTGGACCCAGGGAAGGACTGGGAGTGGGGGAAAGACGACAACGATAACGCGCGGCTGGCCCAGTAAGACCCTAACCTGCCCCAGTAAGACCCTAACCTGCCCCCTCCCCCCTCAGTGCCCTACAGGGAGGGCTATAGCCTGGGCTTCCTAGGGAGGGGCTAGACCTCCCCTGCTCCTCCTGGGACAGCTGGCAAGCAGGCGGGAGGGAGGGTGCGTGCGTGGGCCAGCTCGGGCCGTTTCACTCAGTGTTCTTTTCTCTCCAGCTTCATCCTGTCACTAGAAGCCAAGTTGAACCTTCTGCACAGCTACATGAATGTGACATGGATCCGGATCCCCTCAGAGACACGGGTGAGCCTGGCGTGTGCCCGGACCTAACCTGGTGGCTGCAGTGGCTACTCAGCACTGGCCTGGCCGGAGTGCACTGTCTCAAACACTTCCAAACGCTGGCCTGCCCCAGCTGTGCCCACAGCCCGGGAGGCCCCCTCCTCTTCCCAGCCCCATGCAGCTGGGGCCACCCTGGCTGTGGCTTGAAATAGCTCTGCTTGGCCCTGGTGCATGTGCGTATGCGTGCGCATACTCTGGTTAGGGGGGTTAGGGGATTTTTGTCCCCTTATTTTCTGCAGAAGTAGAGGAATAAACACGCCCACTCAGAAAACAAATTGTAGGCAAGTCACAACACAAAGCTATCTCTGCTGAGATCGGAACATGATGTGCTGCTGCAGAGCGGAATTAATTATAAACTATGTGTGGGTCCTTGGAAAAGCCAGGGAAGGGAGAGTGAATCCTCAGAGCCCCTCCTCCTCCCCTCCTGGAGGCGGGGCTGGTGGGTAGAGCTGGCAGGGCAGAGAGGAGATGGGCCCACCCGCCCACCAGGCCACCTGCCCCTGGGCAGGGTCTGTGCTGCCGCTGCTTGCAGATACTGAGAGGATTCTGACTGATTGATGTTTTTGCAGTCTGAGTAGTGAACTCCCAGGGAAAGGGATTTGTAAAAACTGCTTGCAGATAGCTGGTCCTCTCCAGACATCAGTTTACTTAGGCATGAAGTTGGGCTCATAAGGAATATTAAAGAGTGAAGTGAGACAAGCAAGCAGGGACGAGATGCACTTGGCACAGCTGAGAGGGCTTCGTCCTTCAGTCTCTACCTGTCCTTCATCTTCATAGCGCTTCAGAGGCAGGTACCGATGCCCCACTTTACTGATGGCACAAGTGATAGCCAGAGTCTGCATGCTGTCTCACAAATACCGGGAACATGCCAGTCTTACTGTGGACGTTCTTTTCCAGCACCCACATGGCTTGTGGTGGGGGCAGCTCTAGATCTAGAATCAGGAGGTGCTCGGGCTGGGCACAGCTCTGCCCTGCAATGAGCAGGACCCTTTGCCAGGTAGGTCTTGGTGGCCTCCACGTCAGAGGTGGAGCTCTCACACCAGAGGTGAGACAGCCCTGGCAGGGGCCCTTGCAACCAGGGCACCGCAGTCTGCACTCCTCATTCTCTGGGCTCCAACCAGGCACCTATTAGCACGCCAAGCACAGCTCCCTTCCTGGGATCCAGTCCCCAAATTTCCACCCTTCAGTGTCTCTGGCAAACTGGTTTAAGACTTTTCATTCCTTCCCATTCCACATAGGAAGGGGAAAGACATAATATGAGACCAGGAGGTGGTAAGGGCCAGTTCTGCCCACTCCCGCTTCTGGGTGACCTGGTTGCAGGAAGGTCACCCCTCTCTTGAATCTGCTTCTGAGGGGAGGGACAAAAATAAAGTGGGAGAGCAAGGGGCCTTCTCCAAGGCTCCTCGCCTGGAGGGCAGGAAAGACTGCACAGGTATGAGCACCAGTTCCTGCCACACCCTGCTGCTGGCATGAGGGACCACCCAGTGACGCTCAGTCAGAATTCTCCTCACCCAGGAAGGCCCTCCGCAAAGCAGCAATAGGTGCTGCCTTTCCTCTGTAAATCCCCACCTCCTTTCTGACTCTCCACCTGCCCCAGATATTGGTCCTGACCATGTTCCCATATGGCCTTGTCCTCCCCTAACTGGCTGACCCCAACCAGTGGGTCTCATCCACAGGTTCACAGAGATGCCGGCCTGTGTCCTGCATCTCCCCACCCCCACGGGAGGCCTTTTCTGGGAATGGTAACGTCTTTTCTGCTGAGCCCAGGCCTATTTCAGAATCCTTCTCAATTTAGCACTCTGCTTTGCCAGACAGAGAAAGGAATCCCTAAGGTGATTTGTCACTGTTGAATCAAGGGGGTGTTTCTTCCAAGATCCAAAGAATGAGGTTCTGAGGGCAAGGTTTCTATCCCCTGCCTGTAGTGAGGTGAGACATACCTGTAGGAAACACTTTTGTGTAAATAGGTGTCCTCACCTGAAGGCCACTACCTGTAAAGGGACCTGTGTCTGGTCAAGCAGGCAGCCTCACCGGGGTGGAGCACCAGGGTCTGGACATCGTAATTCTCTAAAATGTGCTGAGGCTCTGGGGCCCAAAGCTAGGTGGGTTATCCGCACTCTGCAGGCACTCCTCCACTCAGGGTTCTAGACCACCAGAGAGAAAGGGCGTGAGTGCAACAAGGCCTCCCTGGCCATATGGCACACACAGATTAGAAGTCCCTACCAAGCCCTTCACAAACACCTTCAGGCCACCTTTTCATTCCTGCAGCAGACCAGGGTTACTTTCCCTTGAGTACCGCCCATCCCAGTCTCCTAGACACCAGAACGGCAGTCGGGACTAGGACAGTGAGGCTCGAGGTCCCCAGCCTCAGCAGCACATGGGTACGGTCTGTCTTCGTTGGCCCCACGTGGGAACAGCTCTTCTCTAACCACTTTCCTCCCTCCCTCCCCACAGGCGCCCCTGGCGCAGCCAGAGTCACCGACGGCCTCAGTGGAGGAAGACGTGCAGTCCCTGACCGACTCGCTGGACTCGGACCATGACTCGGTGTGCAGCAATTCAAACAGCAATAACGGCAAGAATGGCAAGCACAAGGAGAAGCAGCGCAAGGAGAAGGACAAGACGCGTGCGGACTCCGTGGTCAACAAGCTGGGCAGCTTCAGCAAGACTCTGGGCATCAAGCTGAAGAAAAACATGGGGGGCCTCGGTGGCCTGGTACACGGCAAGATGGGCCGCGCCAACTCCACCAACGGCAAGAACGGCGACACAGCAGAACGCGGCAAGGAGAAGAAGGCCAAATCGCGCAAAGGCAGCAAGGAGGAGTCGGGTGCGTCGGCGAGCACGTCGCCATCAGAGAAAACCACGCCGTCTCCCACGGACAAGGCGGCGGGAGCGTCTCCGGCTGAGAAGGGCGGCGGGCCACGGGGCGACTCCTGGAAGTACAGCACGGACGTGAAGCTGAGCCTCAACATCCTGCGCGCCGCCATGCAGGGAGAGCGCAAGTTCATCTTCGCCGGCCTGTTACTCACCAGCCACCGGCACCAGTTCCACGAGGAGATGATCGGCTACTACCTGACCAGCGCGCAGGAGCGCTTCAGCGCCGAGCAAGAGCAGAGGCGCCGCGACGCCGCCTGGCAAATATTGAAGACGACTCATCATATGGATAATTGGAGTTCTTGAAGAAGAAAACCAAAGCAAGGGAACAGGGCAAATACTAACCTTTCCTGAAATACGAAAAATTTGAAAACACATGTAAAACAATAGAACACTGTGAACCTGAGAATATTAACCCAGAATAACCAACACCAAAGTATAGTCTAGTAAAACTACTTAGAAAAAAATCCTTTGAGCATCTATGCAAAGATCATGTGACTTATATGTGGAGAGTCAAGTTATCATCAGACTTTGATAGCAATGCTTTATGCCAGAAAAAAATGAAGTCACATATTTCAGAATAATTAAGATACCCATGGGAAGAAAATATGAGCCAAGGATTTCATACCCACCAGAGGAGACTTTCAAGCATAAAGGGCACACTATTATTACCACTATGCAAGAACTCAGACTACTCCTCTCATGAGCCTTTCCTGAGGCATGTGATAGAGAATGAGTTTCAGACATCCAAAATGACTAGAGGGTCACAGATCTAAGGACCTGTGGCGAGCAGTAATTACATTTACTTATATAAGAAAGACTACAGGTCAAGGCTAAAAAGAGGACACTACACTATGTAATGGTTATAAGCTGACAGTGCAGACATAGCACAACTATTTAAAAAAAGAGAGAGTGGGGATAGCATATAAAAATCATATATGGTGGTAGCAGTATTAGTATTATTATTCAGATACTCCTGTGTGTATGTGAAAGTGGGATAAAGTCAGTGAGCAAATATAGGATATTCTAATTCTATGACGTATCCTTCAGAATGAGCTGTCACAGTGTGGAAGAAAGGATACAGATGTAATAAAGAAGAGTTTAAATAAAAACTCTGCAGTCCGTAATAACTTCGTATAGCATACATTATACGAAGTTATACGATAACTTCGTATAATGTATGCCATACGAAGTTATTACGAGTGCGCGGCCGAGCTCCCGCCGCCGGGCGGCCGCTCCGTCCGCCGGTGTCTCTCCCTCACCCGGGGCCAGCGCGGGCCGGCGCCGCCGCGGCCAGTGCTGCGTAGGTGTTTGGTCAAACGTTCTCATGGTGCCTGAACCTACTCTGACGCCACTCAGGTAGTAGACGGATAGGAAACAAGTCATACTGTGGAAGTGGGTGTGCTAGCCTAGCCTCTGCCTCGTACCTGTGGGAACTCAATAGCCATTGCGAGAGTATTTTTGTTCCTCGATAAGAAAAATAAAAAGTTCGCAGCCCTTTGTTTTCAGAAGGGAGTGTTTTACATGCTTTTTTCCTTTTTCCCTCCCCAAGCCACTGACCTCTTCCCGGTAGCGGTCACGTGTGTGCAGTGCGGTCGGTGCCCGGGGTTAGGAGCGAGCGCCAGCCCGGGACTGCGGTGCAGGCTCCTGGGCGGGCTCCCATCCGCCTCCCGCCCGGGCCTTCGGAGAGACCAGGCTCCTTGCCGCTCCGGTGGTCGCTGCGGCCCCTTAGGAACACGCCCCTCCATCTCATAAGTAGCGCCTCCTCCCACCGCCCCGGCTCGAGCACCATTCACACTGCCATCCAAGCCGCGGGCGTCGCAGAGAGGCCACCGGACAACCTACCTCGCAGGGCGCGGTGAGGTGGAGCGATCGCTCCCGGTGCCGGGCAGCTCAGGTGACAGGAGCTTTCCAAAGACACTTTGGGTCTAAAAAGCAAGGTTCGGAACTTACATTTGGATTTGCCCATAGATGAGCAAATCTGACAGCCTGCTCCCATTTCTCCCTTGAAGACGCTTCCGCAGTGGACTGTCGCTGGAGGGCCCTAGGAGGTGATCGTCGGTGCCCCAGGAGAGAGGCAAGGAATAGACCCCTTGGTCACTGTGTAAGCCCGCACTAGGCTGTTTTGAAACCCGGCCTGCTCCTCTATCCCAAGGGAAGGGGCTGAGGGAAGCCGGGAAGAAGCCCACCCCACCCCTCTCCTGCGTCTTTCTGGGGTCAGCCAGGTAAAGGGGCTCACAGGGATTGGGGCCCCTCAGAGGGCAGGGATGACTCTGCCTCTGGCTCTGTAACACATCGAGGGAGCAGCCGTTCCCTGAGCGGTCTCTTTTTTGGTGCCTCCTACATTTCTTGAGGAAAAAAAAAAAATGTGTCCTTAGCTACCCTGTTTTGAGCAGCAATATGCAGCCTCTTCCTTCCAAGATTACCTCTGGAGAATACCGTTCTTGGCCAAGGACACCGAGGAGCTAAACCTGCCTCACTAAGGAAAGATCTTGTTTTCAAGAAATATGGATAAGATGGGTAAAATCCTCACTAACAAAAGGATACTTTAAAACCTGTGAGAGCCTTAGAATAGCCTCTAATAATCCTAAGAAAGAAAGGAGAAAGCGCCTGGCTTTGCTGTGAGTGTGTCAAAGTGCACGAGGTGGCCATCTCTTCGTCGGAGCCAGTTTCTCCTCCAGAAAGGATGCTTTTCCCCCGACCATAAAGAGCAGCAAAAAAAACAAAACAAAACAAAAAGCGGGGAGGTTTTTTTTTTTACTTGTTTGAAGAATTATAATAAAAGAATTGAGTGTCTCCTGTGAGTAATTCCTTTTTGTTTTTAACGATTCCACAGCATGTGGAGTTTTGAGTAATTTATTCAAGTTTTGCAGAAGTGATTCCTTAAAGCAACATTATTTATTAAATAGAATCTTTAAGAAATTTTTTGAAAGTTTTACTTTTCATGCCAAACAATACTTTCAATGTGTGGTAATTACTAACATCCATGTCCCTGATATTGCTGGGTTTCTTTTGTTACTTACAAAAACAAGTAGTTTTTTAAAAAATCTCTCATAGAGAGGGTCTGTGGCAGCTTTTTAGACTGATTCTTCATGTCACGCTGAGCAGCTGCTTTGCCATCCAAAGCTACGCAGGGTCACAGAAAACGTCGCTTCAAGTGTAGATGCTCCTCCCTCCTAGGAGGTTGAGACAGCCAACCTTAAACACTCTTAAATGTGCGTTCAGAAACCAAACTCGTACACACAAGAAGTCAAGGAGCATAAAGGAAATTCACGTGTTTTTTTTTTTTTTTAATGTTAAAAGAACCAACCAGAAATTTCCAAAACTGGCTATGCAAATCTTTTATCTTTCTCATGCTCTCTGCCAGGTTTTCAAAAAAAGGCATACAGAATAAAAGCGGCCCATTGTAACAGAGTAAAACCTTCCAAGCCAGGCAGAGGAATACATACGTATTATCAAAAAAAGGGTGACCTGTTCTATCTCCTTGCGTTTCCAAGTTACCTCCACCCCACCCCATCCGATGACAGATGTGGGGGGAATAAGAGTCTGAGTTCCAGCCACTGGCCTTGCGAAAGGCCCCAGCTTCCCAGCATGGTCACGAGGCGGGCTGGCCACACCTGGCGCCTGTCTGTGCCTGCTCCAGGCTGAAACATTTCTACTCTGTCCACATTGTTTAAGAATGGCCATTTCCTTTTGTGAGAGATCTGGATCTGTCCTTCCTGTAAACAGTATTAAAAAATACAGAAGTGAGAGAGCCTAATGTTATGTTACATTTCCTAGTCCTGTGCTCCATGGTGTTCAGAAGAGCTCTTTAGACTTGGTCCCTGGCCAGAGACCAAATTAGTAAATCGGGCTGGATAGGAACTATGAGAAGCTGTGTTGATGCATGTGGGCCAACGGGTTGCCTAACATTTTTCTCTGACTTGGGAGCCTGCTGTGGAGCAGCGAAAGGGAAGAAGGCAGTTCCTGCCAGGGCGCATGGCCTGGTGGCCCCTGCCTGTGACCAGCCTCCCCATCTGACCTAGCTGAACTTCCCTTTCTGGGAAGGAGGGGTGTCTCTGAGCAACAGCAACTTTCTAGAAGGATCCCAGATACTTCTAAACCCTTGCGGAGGTTATTTCAGAAATTTAATTCACATTCCCTGCACATGTGTTACCTGGATAAATGATTTTTTTTAAATAATATATTGTTAAGGGAAAGTGTTTTTCAGTGTATTCCATTTGTAGATTTCATGCTGTGTTATGTTGAAATTTTACAAGCAAGTTTAAACTGTACTATAGAAATTATTTTTATATTACTTTCAGAATATGCCACAGAGCAATATATTATCACAAGGTTGTCCCTATTGGAAAGGTGACTTGAGGTCGGAAGGGGCTCTGCTGTGGGCCCTTGGGGTTTAAATGCTTTTTGCTGTTTGTTCATATACCCTCTGAAAGTTGGAGTGCGTAAATGTCTTTTCTTTTTTAATTGGAAGCTTGATTTCCTTTGTTCTGTTCACACATTTGGTTCTGCACCTATCCTCTCACTAAGTTACTGTGGACAACTTCTTACCTGTTACCACGCCATGGCGTTTGAATCTATTACTTTGCAAATTTAATGTTTTCCAAAATGATTTAATTTATTCATTTTAGTAGCATACTCTCAGGTGGCTGGAGATGAAAGGACCCTCCAAACCTCCAGGTGCACTCCTCAGGGTGTGGAAATCCTCCAGCCCGGACAGTGTCTCTGGGGAGGGGCCGAGGGTATATCACACCCCACTCCTTTAGCATCCACAAGCTTATTTTGCTAACTATTCTGCCTTGTGAAAATAAATTTAACCTAGCAAAATAACAGTAGTTAAAAAAAAAAGGGCTGCACCTATCAGAGGTGGAAAAGTTGTGCAAAAAAAGAAAAGACTTTGCCAAACCCGTTTGTGTATGTGAGTCTTTGTGTTCACTAGGAGACCCGGGGTAAAAGCTGAAGGCATCTACTGCATGTTGGGGGTTTCTTTCTTTATGACATGATTCTTTTTCTTGTCTTGCTTGGACTTTACAAATTAAGTTCCTCCAGGGTTTCTTTTCTTTCTTTCAATGCTTCTAATAAATTAGAAGAAAACGTGTTTATGTGGCTGAGGGAACCCTGCTTTGTCAGACCTCACGAGCTCTGGCATCGGCCCCGTTGGCTGCAGTGGCGGCCCTGCTCTGGCTGAGAGCCAGTCTGTTCTGCTGTCACCTGAGGACAGGGACACCCTAAGAAGAGCCTAGAGTTGGCTGGTATTCCTGGTGCCAGGGAGCAGACAGCCCCTTCCAAAAAGCCTTAAAGTGGCG